TGTGATGAGTGCTAGGACCTACCTGGGAGTTGGAGGTGTGGTTGGCAGGACATTTTATCCAGGATGAGAATGGAGGCACGAAAAAGCAACAACAAGCTGAATTCCTGAGAGAATGGCCAATCAGGGCAGCTTCGGGGAAGCACAGCTGGCTGTACAAAGAGCAGGAAGGGGCTGAAGGAAGAAATGTGCTAAAGGAGAAGAGCAGGAATTAGATGTGGAGGATGTGAAGCGCCATGCTCAGCCAGCGGTTCAGGAGTTAGATGTGGAGGATGTGAAGCGCCGAGCTCAGCCAGCGGTTCAGGAATTAGATGTGGAGGATGGGAAGCGCCGTGCTCAGCCAGTGCTTCTCAGAGCTTCTTCCCCTGCCTACGACTCACCCACTAGTGTCACCAGAAGAATCAACATGGAAGTACACGTCCACGGGCAGGCTGAGGTGAGGTCTTCTTCCCTCCCCGTGAGATACCTGATGAGCATGAAGAATCTGGATCTTATCCGAAGGTCAGATGGCGCTGGATCAGCTACTTACACACTAAGCCTTCTTTTACATTTCTCTACATGTGTGTGCTGTTGTAACTGTAGGCTCAGTGTCGGGATTCTAGCTGTCCACCACAATTCTCAAGCCATGTCACCTTGAAAAATTTGCTCACTTTCATCAGTAAGCTGTATCAGTACTGTGGTACCTACCTTAGACATTTATTGAGTCTGAGAGGAGATGCAGGCACAGCTCTGGCCATGGAGGTTGGCTTGCAGGATGCAGTAGGCAACCAGGAAGTGTGAAAGATCACACAGGCATGTATTAGTTAGTACAGCCCTATGGTATCAGCCATCATCATGGTCTCGGTGGTTAGCATCAGCATCATCACCACATCCTATAACCATCACCACCCTCATCACCCATACCACCCCCATTGGCATCCTCGTCAGCTTCCCCATCATCATAAGAGGGTCTGGGAGGTTGCCGTTGCTGGCTTCCTTCCCACTACTGTTCTTCCATGTGGTTGTCTTAGACCCTAGATAGATGAATTTGAATAATGCGATATAGTATCAAAGAGAAGACCCTAGAGGAATTTTGTTTATTTTAAAGTTTATTGTTCACTGACAATATATAGAAATATGGTTGATTTTAAAAGATTTATTGAAAAAAATTAGATTTCTTTATTTTCTGCATATGAGTGTTTTGCCTGAATGTATACCTTCTGAAGAGGTTAGAAGAGGGTGTCAGATCCCATGGAACTAGTGTTACAGCTGGTGAAAGCTACCATGTGGGTGCCAAACCTGGGTCCTCTGCAAGAGCAACAAGTGCTCGTATCCACTGAGTCATCTCTCCAGTCCCTTAAAGATCTTTGTTTGTTTGAGACAGGGTTTCTCTGTGTAGCCTTGGCTGTCCTGGAACTAGGTCTGTAGACCAAGCTGTCCTCGAACTCAGAGATCCACCTGCCTCTGCCTCCCCAGTGATGGGATTAAAGGCATGCACCACCACATCCAGCTAAAGATTTTTCTTATTTTAAATGACGTATTTGTGTGAGTGTATTTTGATTTTTTTTGTCCCTCAGCTCTCCACAGATCCCCCTAATATATCCCCCCATTAAAATTTCATGTCCTTAAAAAAATACCACTGAGTCAAATTAGTGTTAACCCTAGATCCCGGAAACCTCCGCAACCAGCCAATAGCTCCTCGTTAGGGGTGGGCTTGGAGCGCACCCCCCATCTATGCCCCGTTTGGCTCGCTTGATCTTGTACAGCCGACCATAGCCGCTATGAGTCCATGAGGGCAATGGCCTTGGCATGTTGCATAGATAATATTTTTACAGCATTCTTCCTGCCCTTTGGCTCTTACATAAAGGGGTTTTAGCAATGTGGTAGTCATAACATTTATTGAGCCCCTACTATATACCAGACATCATTCTAGGCACTGGAGATACAAACTGAGTCAATGAATGTTTTGCTTGTGGAGCTGGGAGCTTAAATTTGTGTGAGAAGAAACCCGTAAGAATCAACAGGCAAATATGTAGTTGAGAAAAATGAATGCTAGAGAAAGAAGTTCATACAGGACAAAGTGGTCTTTAAAAGGAGACCATCAAGGAGATAAGGTTAACCAGGCAACACAAAGGGAACCGGGGAACAGAAAGTCCCTAGGTATTAAGATGTCTGGCACACTGAGGATACCGGCCAGTGTGACAGCCCAGCAGTGAACAGCTGAGAGTGACTGGCGAGGAAAGACGTGACACAGTTGGACTTGTGTCTTAGTGGAGATGTGCTGACTTCTGCGCTGAACACAGATAATAAGCCATCATATCCTTCAACAGCAAGGCCAGGCTGGAGGGTATTTCAGTTACCCAGTTGTGAGCAGCTCTGACATCCCTGATATACCAGCTCGGGGGGAGTGGGAGATGCTGGGTAAAATGTGAAGGAAAAGCCAAAAAGAAAAAAAAAAAAAAGACTGCTAATACGTTGTTGCATTGAGAGGTGGGTGGCCCTGACTCTCCAAAGGAAAATTATGAAGTTGCACCACTGATTCTGTAGAGCACTGGGGACTTGTGGCTTGGCTTCCGGGGACTTTTTCATCTCAGCACACAGGGGAAGCAACTGACATTCCTGGGGGCTTTTCATTCAGGCACTCTGGCTGAAATGTGGGAGGCCAAGGCTTCAGGCCCACGGAACTCGACCTTATAATTTAGTCCATGCAATATGAGGGTGTCTGGAGGCATCCTGGCACAGCTGGATTCCTGGAAAAGATGTGTCTGGCTCCTCCTCCATTTTCCTGGTCCCATCCTACGCACTTCAGAGTAGAAAAGGAAAGAGGGATGAAGGAGTTCAGATGATCCGGAAACAGAGAGGGGCAAGTCCCCTGAATGCATGCTGTGCCCATACAGAAGTCAGCAGGGTGGAAATCTCCAGAACCCCCAGTGCCTACCAGCTTTACTTCCACGATGGCTCTGGGCAAGTCCCCTCCTCCTATGGGTGTAACCAAACACCCTACTTCAGAGGAAAACACTGGCTGCCTTTTAAAGTTGAACACATCATAGCCTGTGGTTTGTGAGCCACATATGGCCTGGGGAGCTCCCAGAAATGACGATGAAAGAAAATCCTTGAGATCTGGACACAGGGGCTCTGTGAAACCCCGCCCGTCCCGAGTGGTTCTGCAGACGGCCATGAGTACCCTTTCTTCACAGAGACGCGCTATGACGTCAGCATCACAGGGGGTCACTCCTCACAATGTGGTGAGCCCATTTTTATCCCATTGGATAGATGAAGTCACTAAAGTTCAGGGACAGCATGTTCTACGGAGGTTCTGGAACTGAATGTGACCCCAAGTCAGCGTATTGCAGAGCCAGTCTCGATCATTGTACCCATGGGCCCTGCCCTGTGTGTCGGTGGTGTGTGTGTGTGTGTGTGTGTGTGTGTGTGTGTGTGTGTGTGTGTACGTACATGCACGTGAATGCAGAGTCCAGAGGAAACCTCAGGCACCATTCACTAGGCACCATCTATCTCTTTTCTTCTTTAGAGTCAGGGTCTCTCACTGGCCTGGAATTCATCAAGTAACCTAGGTCGGCTGGCCAGGGAGCTGTGAAACCTGACTTTGTGTGTGTGTGTGTGTGTGTGTGTGTGTGTGTGTGTGTGTGTGTGTGTGTTGTATGTTCACATGTGTGTACCAGTGCACAACTCCATGTGCACTCCTGTGAAAACCAGAAGATTTCAGGTGTCCTGCCCTATCGTTCTGCACCTTACTCCTTGGAGACGAGCATCTCTCGATGAAGCTGGAGCTAGGCTGGCGGTCAGCAAGCCGGGCGGTCATCCTGTCTCCTCACCACCTTGCTCCCAGCACTGAGGTTCCGCTCCCTTGCAGCCAGGCCTGGCTTTTTCTGTGGGTCCTAGGGACTTGAGCTTAGGCCCTTATGTTTGCGCAGCAAATCCTCTTACCAGCCAAGTCATCTTCCCAGTCCTGGTGTGGCCTTTAACACAGGCTCTGGGGATCGAACTCAGGCCCTTGTGCTTGTGAGCCATTGCTCTGTCTGTCATCCTCTATTCTTCCAGTGCTTAAAGGAAAAAACCTGAGAAACCTTCCATTCCCATCTCCGCCCTATACATGTAACTCCTTAAAAAAAAACAAGACAAAAAACTAAACTGATTATTTTCACTAACAAGTAAGTGACTGTTTTCTCCAAGGAACAGATTAATGTCATGATAAGAAGGAGCTTTAGAGGTGTGCTTTACAGAGAAGGTAGCCCTGAAATCCACAGGGGAGGCTAAGTTCACTTCTCAAGGTCGCAGTGGCAAAGCCATGGCTCAAAAAGCAGACAGGGCTCCTGCCTCCAGGCCAGAGCTTGGCTGGGTTCCAGCAGGCCACCCTGAATTACTGACCCTGTCCTCTTAACACAGACGATGAAGGAGGGTCTCTGTACATCGACAACTTTAAGCCCACTTTGAACTTGGGTGGTTTTTAAGCAAGGTAGTCCTGAACATCTTAGGACAACCCAGCTTTTTGTTTTCATCTGTCCCTCTGTCCTGCATGCTGAGGAACCCGCGCTTTGTCGAAGTAGGAGGCTTTTGCTATAACTCCTGCTGTTCAGCCCATGGAGGGGTGTTCTCTTCTGGATAGAGCAGGTGATCTCACTAGAGCAGGTTCTAGTCCAAACTTAATTTACTCTGTGTTATTTCCCCTACAATAACAGAGATTCTTCTGCTTGCTCAGCTACCTTCTGCAGCCTGCAGCCGCTCCACCCAGCTCATCTCTACAGGCAGCAAACACCCTTCAAGTCAAGACAGGTGTCCTGGGCTCACCCCACTTCCGCCTCAGAAATAGCCGTCCTGTTCTCCCACTATGCAAATCCACTCTCCAAATTATTCTTCATCCTGTACTGTGTGTACAGCGCAAGGCTTGCTTTCCAAGTTCTCTTCACATTTACACTCTCAGTTCGCGGGTGTTGGCCCTTAGCATGCTCCGCAGGTGTACTGCAGATGCAAGGATCGCAGGCACACATGCGCCCATGCAGATTTACGGGTGAGCTGTGAAAAGAATGAGGAGCAATGGCTGGCCTCAAGGAAGGGATCTGTAGCAGCTCTCTGGCACAGAGTGGACCTTCAGCAAGGCTTTGCTTTTGTAAAGGTGCATGTACAATGTCTCCTTGCCATTGCTTATGCCAAGAGAGGTACTGGGCACGTGACAGCCAAAGTACGGAAGTGGTGGTATTTGAACTTGACTTTCAAGATGGGAAGATTTTGGTTTTGTCTTTTTCTTCTTTCTCCTCTTGAGCAGATTCGGAGGAGGTTACAGACAGAAGAAATAGCATCCCTCCTCCCGCCGGGCACACACCAAGACTGCACCAGGAGCCAGTTGTGTGTGGGATGAGCCCCAGAGCAGGACTGACTAGAAAGCCAAAGGATCTGAGCTGATAGTGGGCAAGTTTGCTCCCCAGGCCCTCGTTCCCCTCCTGATCAGAGAGGAAGTCCCTCAGGCTTCAGAAGCACCAGCAGCAGGTTCAAAGCGTGGCTATGTGTGACCTTGAGACGTTCTGTTGGGGCTGAGGATCAGTCTGTTCCCTTCCTACAAAATGGGCAAATGTAATATCCCAACCTTTCAAGGCTTCCGTGAGGGGTTCAGAACCCAAATAAGCTGATAAGCCGGGTCCTGTCATTGTTGTGTTTCTTTTTACAAACGTGGAAGCGACAACCTTGACCTGTGTCCCTCTAAGTATGAGTGCTGGTGGCTTCCCCACATTCAACCCAGAGCCTGCCTGGGACAGAAGCTGTGGTCAAACTGTATGATACCCCAAAAGAAAACAGAGTCAAGGGGGCTGGCGAGGGGCTTTGTCTACAGCCGACTGGCCGGGCCAAGAGGGCCACACAGTAACTCAGTCCCTTGGACAAGTTGCAGCCCACATCCAAGGTGCCAGGGCGCAGTCCTTTGAGCCTAAAAACCCTTGGGAAGAGACAAGGACCGGCCCGGCTGCCGGCTTGCAGGGCGGCCCTTGGGGGAGGGGTGTCTCAGGATTCGCGGTGGGCAAGAGGGGCGTCGGGTCCCCACCCTCTAGAGCCGTGCTCCCCGCGACCCCTGCATCCCCCCCACCCCGCCCAGGTGGGGCTCACGCTCAGCACCGAGCCTCAGGGTCACCCCCACCGACTCCACTCGAGGGTAGCCCGGGCACTAGGAAGCTCGGCCACCCCGGCAGCCGCGCCCAGCCTTGCCCTGCCCGGCCCCGCCCGCCCTCCTCCGCGGGGTCGCGGCGAAGGGAGGAGGGGCGGCGGCC